TGTGTGTGTGTGTGTGTATATATACATGTTGCACATGTGTTCTGTGTGCATTTTTGCCTGCCGGGATTAGGTGCTCAGCCTCAAATGTTCGGGCCTGGGGGCATGGAGCTGTGGCAGCTTTGCTGATGGCACATCAAGCCTGATTTCCCTAATGGAGTAAACCTCTCAGACAAAATTTATCCCCGGTGTTTGCCTGAGTTACTGGGAATAAAGAAATTATTATGGGCACCTTTTGGAAATTAATGCAAATGGCTTGCAGGGACTGCTGTGAGGTTGGAGGTAGCTGAACTGTCTAAAAGAGATAACTAACTTTTGCAGAGATTTAGAGCATTTGCTATGCTGATGCACCTTTATTTCATCGAAACCACGGCTGTATTATATCTGTAGCCTGTCACCTCCAATTTAACCTCTTCACAACCTGACTCAGAGTAGCACATGCTGGGCAGAGACCAGGAGAGATTTTACCACATACAAAAACTGAGGTAGCTACTGTGACTTCCCTTCGTATTACCACAGTTTCTAGATATAATGCCTTAATGCCATTATACTTCCTAATCTGACAAAAAAATGGGCTACTGGTGACTTGAAAAGTGCTTTCCATCCTATTGCAGGTTGGCCACATTTCCTGCGCTGTAGCAGCTGCTGAGATTTAGTTTTGCTCATGCTGGTGGTTTTCCTCCTCTGAAGTCAGGATCTTAAAAGAGTAAGCATTCTTTCTACTCTTAACAAATGTTTAGGTTTTAAATGATTGCAGGTTGTAACGTTACTGATCAGCTAGGAATATTCTTGTGTCTGTTTTAACCATTAGGAAAATGTACATTAGCCTAAAGACTACAGCTGATTTGCATGAGCCAAGTGTCAGTGACAATCTTGTACTATAAATACAGCCATCATGGTCTCACCCTAAAACTGTTCTTCTAGTGAAATTCTGCCTGCAAGAGCATTTGTGGTTCCTGCTAGCTCATGTTTTCGTTTAACTTTTGTTACTTCAGAAGTGTAACAGCAACCCACCAAAGAGTGCCTCCTTCAGAAGAGAAGGCTTCACACTTGGAACTGGTGACTTGTGGGAGATGTTAAGTACTCCTGCACCACACATAGTCTGCCTGATACAGTTGAACTTATCAGGGTAAATGTCTGCTTTAACTGGCTTAAGTGATTTAGGCTCACTTCCAAGAAGGAAGTGTAAAAAAACCCCCACATTTATTTCTTCTAAAGATGCTGTGTTTGAGTAAAACCACTCAATTTCCTTCTGAGAAAAGGAAACAGAAATAAAAATTCAACTTACTCTGCAAAAATATGCTTGTAATGAAAAGAAAATTTCAATCACTGAAGTATCTGAAGCAGAAAATTGCCTTTTATAGGAACATGGTCTTTTGTAAGGGTGAAAACCCCTTCTTTTGTAAGGGTGAAACCCTCTTTTGCCTGTCTGTAATCACAGCCTATCAGTGCAGCACGTCTTGCATCCCCTTGCAAAGAGATGCACAGTGTGCTTGCATAATCTAGAGGAATAAGAATTGTTTTGGAGTATAAACTCCCTATATTCATGGATAACTTAATTTTGAATGTAGCTTGTTCCTTCAACTGTACTGGACGATCTCCTGGATTTTGTTGTGTGTCAAAAAAAGGTCTTGTCTCCAAGGTGTATTCTGTTCCAACCCCCAGCTTTAGTTAAATCACATTTGAAATGGTCATGAAAAATACCTTAAGGCCCTAAGACAACAAAGAAGCAGTAAATCAGGAGAAAGGCTTCCTGGATAGACACTAGAAATTAGGCTCAAATACGGCTGGGAGAGTCCACCTGATCACAGAGGGACTCTGGAAGGGTTTAAGGATCTAAACAAAGTAGAAGGACTTGTGAAATATCACTCATAGGAGTCTTGATTGACTTTTGACTGACAAAGCTCAAAAGCCAGGTGGAGTCTGACCCTGTAAAGTCTGAAATGAAATTGTTTGGAGCTGATATTTCCTGATGTCCAGAAGAAAACACCACTTCTTTGTGAGTTCTTCCCTTTTGATAGCTCCCTGTTCTCTCAAATCAGTTGATACTACTTCCTCATGTGAACCTTGCTCTGCTTTCTACATTCATGCATCTGTTCTCATGTGTTATGAGCAGCTTCCCTCCCACTTATGCAAGCACACACACCCAGTTGAGAACACAGCCACTAGTATGCACCAAAATCTATTAGATCCTGTCCCAGGACTGCTGTACCTACAGTTTTTCTTAGATATGTCCTCTTAGATATGTCCCCTTTACCACAGGAATCTGTCCAGAGGGATTTGAGGGCTTCATATCTTCATTTGGGATTTCTGGGCAGTGAACCTCTGAGACAGCCAGACTGCTGAACACCTAAAATTTTCTGGCATGTTCATTGTACATGAGATAGAAAATTACAGAGCATGATTGATGAAGTGGGATGGCTCCCATGACCTTCCCAGCATTATCTTACCTCAACAGAACTATTTGTTGAGCCTCCTGCTGCTGTGTGCCTGCTGTATTGTTTGAATTGTTGCAATCCATCCTGCACAGCTTGTGCCACTCCATTTCCCCCCTGTGGGAAACAGCCTTCTGCTGGGAGTGAGCGGAGCTCTGAGATGCAGGCTTGGATTCGGGCAAAGTTCTCTTTCACTTGCTGCAAAATTCAATGAACATGAAAGACTATCAGACAAATAACATGAAATACCTTTCCATAATGCAGAAGAAGGTTTTTGAGTTCACAGCACAGAGGTCAGACTGGGGGCAGGAGACAAGTCATAAAGCAGTGAACAGTGGTATGTTAGGCCAGCAACAACACACTTGCTCACTCCTCAAGTTTTCAGCTACCTGTTGTGTGCTGCTAGGTAAAGTGCAGCAGTTTGACATGCCCCTCTCTTCTGGCCCTGTGTAACACAGAGGCAGAACCTGAGACTTGAATAGGAGCACTCAGATGATGCAACATCCCCAGACCAAAGTCACTCCTGTCAAAGTTATGTCTGTACTCCTTTGCTCATCAAGCTGTGGACCTCTGGACCCTGTGTTCAGGAGGGTTTGGAGCCAGACTGTGCCAAGTTCAAAAATGGATTCCACAATAGCCTCAAATGTATCCTCTGTCATTCTAAATACAACAACTGTGAAACTTGAGGAGTGTGAGGAGAAAGAACTGTAGAGAGTGACTAGGCTGGAACATCCCCCCCAGACAGCCTTTCCTTTTGAGACTGGGCTGATGGACCACTGGTCTGACTCAGGAGGGCATTTCTTCTGCTCTTACACTGCTTGTTTAGGACACTCACTGCAGGATGATGGTCAAAAGAGCAAATGCTAACAGAAGGTGTGTGGACCCTCCTGCTTCAGAGATGACCTACCAGACCAAGTGTTAGAAAGAAAAATGTTATTCTATAGCTGTCATTTGTAAAAAATGTTTTACTCCTTCAGGCAGCAGCTACCACTGTACAATGGCTGCCCCAGGGAGAGCTGGTCTGACTCATCACGGCAAGATGAACATTATAAATGCAGAGATCATTAACCCCCTGTGCTCCATGATGATGCTTTGTGTCAGTCTCGTGATTGGAGGGTATTGGGCCATGTTCTCACTGCCTGCTGTGGTGACTTAGATTCCTGCAGTCCAGGGCTGTGAATCCTTGTTTCACATATGTTACTCAGCACTTCCTGGAGCTTAGTACCACCTTTGTAGTGGTCACCTAAATTCAGAAAATGCAGTTTGAATATGAACCAGGCTGGCTAAGATCAGGGCAGACCCTCTCATGCTCTGTCTCCATGCAGTATTAGTTGAGGTTACTTGGTAACTATTACCAAGCCATGACCTTTCCTTAGCATAGACATGACAATGCTGGGGAGCACTCAGGATCCAAAGGTGTGTGAAGCATCTCAGCTAGTGTTCACACAGATGTCAGTTCACCTGAGCTTCACCAAGAACTCAAAGCAGTTGAGTCCAGCAGGTAAACTGGCACATTCTGGCCATAGAAAAGGTCAATAGTGAGCTATACCAAATCTGCTTAAAGCAATAAAAGACACTGCTGCCAGAGGTCACCTTCCTCACAGAAGAGGCAACAGATGGACATATGACTTGTTTGCTTCAGGTGCATGGAGCTGTGACTTGCTGAACCACTCCTGGGCAGCCATGACTTGCAGCATGGTCTTTCACTGTGACTAAATAGAACTAAACCAGCTGGAAGTGCTCTGCTCAGAGTCCCTAGTCCCACATCAACATTTTTTGACACTTTAATGCTCACTTCTTATCTTGTCACTGTTTGTTGTCCTCCACTGTTATTTGCTTTCTTTCTGGTTTCCTTTTCTTTGCCCCACCCTGTTCTTTCCAGGGAAGCTCTTCGGACTTCCCAGAGTTAGGCCTTTATTGGGAAGACCAGTAGGAACAGAGACCATGAACAAGCACCCAGGAAAGACTAAGACAAGGCTAACCATGTATGACACTTCCCCATGTACTCTCCCAATTTCTATTTTCATCTCTGGGGCTTTCCTGACTTCATATGATTTGTCTAATAAGCACCATTTAATATAGCTCTGTCTTGGTTCCTCTCTGAGAATTATCAAGTCTTTAGCTAGATCAGAAAGAAAATGTGGTCACAGCATGCCCTGTTGGGAGACAGGAGCCAATTCAGGAGTGCAGGAGAAGCAATGGAGCCCTGGTATTTCTGAAGAAGGCTGAAATGGTACAGATATTCATCAGACAGAGATGTAAAACTGTTCCTGATTCCAGAAGCTGCAGGGGAACAGGTATCATTATTAGTGAAATTAGGTCCACTGAAGCATAAAACCACAGCATGTTCTGAGCTGGAAGGGAATCTCCAAGGATCATCCAGTCCAATCTCGGCCCTGCACAGGACAACTCCAACAATCCCACCATAAGTGCATTGTCCAAATGCTCCGTGAGCTCTGTCAGTCTTGGGGCTGTGACCACTGCCCTGGGAAACTGTTCCAGTGCCCAAACACCCTCTGGAGGAAGAACCTTTTTCTAATATTCAGCCTAAACCTCTCCTGACACAATTCCAGCTGTTCTCTCAGGTCCTGTAACAGAGAGCAGAGATCAGTGCTGCCCCTCGTGAGGAAGCTGCAGACCCTGATGAGGTCTGACCTCAGGCTCCTCTACTCCAGGCTGGACAAGCTAAGTGACCTCAGCTGCTCCTAGTCTGCAGAAGAGTCATCTTGAAACACTTCACTGTTTCTAATAGTGAAAGAACAGCCCTGAAAGGCAGTTCAGTGCAGCAGCAGATATCTAAAAGAAAGAGATGTCTCACTGGGCAGAACACCCAAACAAAGCTAGGGAGAAGGGGAATGGGAGCTCACAATCTGGGAATTCACAACTGGCTCAAGTCTTTGCATGTGAGCTTTGCTGTCTTGGACGAGTCCCAGAGAAACAGTATTATGGCAAAAGAGCTGATGTGATGGCCAGTCCTGCAAACAGGAGGGGTATTTTTTAGCCCTGTGTACAGATTGCTGAGTGCAGTATTGGAATGCAGCACCCAAAAAACATCAGAGTGAACACACAGAAGGGCTAGGAAGTCATTAAAGGACTGTAAAAATGCCTTTGTTCTCTTTGATTTACCAGCTAGAAGACTGAGGAGAGACCTGCTTCTATTTAGGGAAGAAAGGATAAAATACAAGTAGGTTCTTCAATCTAGCCAAAAGAGGAAATATATATTAACAAATCCCTGGAAGCTAAAGCAAATAAATACAAATTAGAAACCAGGTGCAAGTTTCACAATGACAATGATTAACCACTGGAAGAAATTATCAAGAGAAGTATTTGATTATCCACCTTGTAATAGCTTCAGATCAAAACTAGATGGCTTTCTGGGATAAGTGCTGTAACGATATCTGGGTACTTTAGTGAAATATAATAGCCTGCAAAATGAAGAATGCCAAACAGTGATCTAAGGGTTCCTCTGTCTTTAACAACTGTGACTATCAAAATGAGGAATTGTTTAAAGAACAGAGACAGCCGATCGTGAGCAGCAGAGTCATAAGATGGGGCTAGCAGGGGGATTGTGTCAAAGTGCAATGTCCTCTGGTGACCCACAATTACCAGATGAGATCTGAGGCTGCTGTCAGCCAGCACATTGGGATCAGTGTCAGGACACACCTAGCAAATATAAAAGCAGGTATTTGGTCCCTAACACTTACAAACTAACTTGGACATAATGCAAGCTCACAGAGCAGGCCTGGAACCAGCTATGAAACATCACCTAGACCATCCTACAGTGACATGCCAGGTTGAGTTACATGTAAATTCATCCTGGGAAGCATGACAAATGTCTGCTCTGAAAGCTCCTAATCAGAGTGATTTCACAATATCTTCAGAAACATGCTTCTTTGGTGTTCCCTTAGCTATCCTCGTCACTGTATCTATAACCTGTTCTACAAAATTAGCACTGTTAGCCACAATCTTGTTGCAGATCACATTGGCTAAATTAGTTATTTTTTAATTTTCCCACTTGGCCTCCACCTTTCCTGAGATATGAAAACTTGACAAAACCTTCCAGAATCTTTCCACTGTTGCTGTAAAAAGCAGAAGGTTTAATTCTGTGTGTTTGCACTTATGTCCTGTGAATGAGAGTGCTCAGTGAGACTGTTTATGACAGTGTGACTTCATAGATTCCTGTGAACTTTAGGATGTGTTGTAATCCCAAACTGCTACTGTAGAGCTGCTGGTCATTCACCACCTGCATTTGTTCTGCTGCAAAGCCCTAGGTGAGTGCAATACTTGTTCTTACTGGTTTTGATCTGTATATTTTAAAGCTATGTAGATGTGGTGCTTAGGAACATGGTTTAGTGGTGGACTTGGCAGTGCTGGGTTTAGGGGTAGTGCTGGGTTTAGGATTGGACTGGATGATCTGAGAGGCCTTTTACAACCTGAATGATTCTGTGATTTCAAGATATTTCTCAAATTTGACAAAAATATTTAACTCTGCACCCTTCCCCTTAAATGTCTGTAACCTCTCCCACAGTGGAAATATTTGTGTAATGGGCAGGACAAACCATTTCACTGTCCACATTATTGCAGCTCTAGAGCCATGTGTGATAATGTGGGTAGAGAAGCAGTTCAGACAGTACAAAAAGAAGCACATGAAAGGTACAACAGATGTTTTAGAAGGGAATAGCACAAATAGACCAAAAATATGACACTCCTTTTAAACTTCATCCTTTCATAAAATTCACCTCTTCTGTGAAGCCTGTGAAACTCTGCTTTTTAAGAATGACTGATTTGTAGACATACACTTGCAGTAACTCATAACTTCCTTTACTGAATGGCAATGCTGTACTGCATTCCTGTTTGTGAGACCCCAAGAGACACAGCTCTGGACATACCGTGAAGGGAAGCAGACACTCCTGCTGGGGCTGCACCACGTAGAGGCTCAGCAGGGGCACACGGCAGGGCCCTGCCAAACCACATGCCAAACAGAGAGTGTTTTCCAGAGCCTCAGAGAGCACAGAGCAGGTGTTGGCCCAGGAGGGTGATGTGACATCCACGATGAGAACCCGCGATGGCTGCTGGCAGTGTGCTTTAGTAGCAGGAAAAGTTCTCCGTGTTTCTGAGAGTAATTTTCTGGAATTCATAGTTTCTGAACAGGGGTATTACATGTCCAGTTATCCATCTGCATCTGAAGAGGAGAAATAAAGAACAGCAATGAGTGAGACTCTCCTTTTCCCATTCACTTGAAAGCAACCTGAAGCACAGCATGATTGTGACTCCTACATCTTTCTCCAAAGCAATCATTGTCCATACTCTTAAGATAAACCCACACGAAGACAAGAGAAAATGCATGTGGCCAGAAAACAAAGTGCCTCAACTAAACAAAATGTGCAGTAGATATGCTCTTACAGGTGCAACTGGAGCAGTTCCAAGTGTTGGTAGCACAGCCCTGTCCATGGGTGGGCTGTGTGGGATGTTGCATGATCCCCCAGCACAGCTCAGGTGCATGGCATCCATCTCCAGCAGAGAAGTGATCTTCAGCAGCTGGTGGAAAGCAAGACTTGGAACACTTACTCCTAATTCTGCAGTGGCCAAGAGGTTATACCTAAACACTGAGGAGAACACAGTCCCTGCTCCTTGATACTCAGCAGTGTGAGACAGCAAGCTGTCATATCCAAGAAAGGCTAGCATGATGCAGCAAGAAAATATTGCACATACACAGATTTTACTTTGTGGGTGTGGAGAATGGACCTTTGTCCTTCAGAGTGTCTAACACCTGGGATGAGCTCTCTGCACCGAGAAAAGCATCAATGAATGCAGCACTGTCTCGTACTGTTCTGCAACATGGGAGTACTGCAAGCCTTAAAGTATCTGCAGTGCCAGAAACTCCAACAAAAGCACTTCCAGCCAAACACCAGCTTTGATTTCCAGGTCTGGCTGAAGATGCTGGGAACACTGCACAGAGGTGGCTGTGCTTCATGTGTCACAGAGCTGTGCTGAACGACGCAGAGATTCATCAGAATGGCTCAGTTATGCTGTCAGTGTCAGGCAACAGCTTGCACAAGGCAGCAAAGAAAAGATGAGGGCTCCTCAATTCCCAATCATCTGTGTGTGGGAAGACATGTGGTTCTGTTTGCAGGACTCTGGGAGACCATAGATCCACATAAACAGAGTGTGTGGTCAGGACCCATTTCTCCTCCACCTCTTTTTGTCCATTTTCCTTTCACACCCTTTCATCTAGCAGCACCACTACACATCTCTGCAGGCTCAGCTGGTGCTGCTTTGAGATACCACCCCACAATCTTTCAGAAAATGTGATCATTTCTGTGAAGCAGGGAGAAGCAAGCAGGAGTGTGCTGTCAGGTCTTGTGCCTTTCTTGTGCCTCACAAAACAGAGGAAACCACTCAGTCCAGAGCAAACACCTTGTAGTTAGCCTCAAAGGTTTAGAGGCAAGGTATTCAGGTGTGCTCATCCACAGACCTTTAATGCGACATTTGTTCCCCTCTCCATCTCCCTTCAATGCACACATCTTAAGCACAAAGGCCAGCATTTTCCTGTTAAAAAATTCTGTTCTTTGTGAACAAGGACCCTTTCTGAAATCTTGTCTTCATGAAATCCGGACAAAACACTCTGCTGTTTCTAAGGTTATAGAAAATGCTTCAAAAACACCTTGGTAATAACAACAGTATGTTGTTATTATACAGGTCTACTTGTGTCCAGAGAAGTGTTTGTATAGTTGCACATACCTTCTCAATATGAACTAGAATAAATTCTTTCTTCCTACAGCTATGCCAATCCCAGAAGAATCAGAAAAGGTTTGAAGCAACCCTGGATTTACACAGTTGGGCTCTGGTCAGAACCCAGGCCTGTGTGTGTGTCCTGTCACTTGTGTGGTATGTTCAGCTCAGACAAACAGCACTTTTATGTTCACCAAGGAGACAGGATTTTTGCTATAGCCTCCAGCACTTTGGAGTAAGAGTTTCTGTAAGTCTTGAAAAGAGCAAGAAATGTGTTTCTATTTTGCTGAAGTATCATCAGAAAACCCCTCTGTACTTCTAGGTTGCTTTTCAGTGAAGGCAAAACAGTGATCACAGTCGGAATTTCAGAACTGAGGTTAACGTTTCAGAACTGGTGAAAATGTTACATAGATATGGAGCATGTAGATATGTGTAGGTATCTCGCTTTGACTAGTAAACTGATAGCATTTCATTGTGAAATGAAAAACTGCCAGATACCACTTTAATCAGTGTCTCTTCTGGAGTTTTACAACTTATAGGAGAGTTAACTAAATTACATCACTGAATCTGGGAAAATCCTTGTCTGTCTGAATTTTTTGTGATGAAGCTTTATACTGCTGAACTCTGCAAGTCCCCAGTGCTTTCTCAGACAAGGAAACAAACCCCATCCAGCAGTCAGAAATGTACATGAGTTGGGTCTTTGATTTGCATTGGTTTCAGAGAGAAAAATGAGCCTTGATGCTGAAGCAGACAGAGTTTTCCTAATCTTGAATGAATTTTCTCATTCTTGACACTCTACAGGACTATACTTATTTTAAATTGCTCTTGTAAAATAAATACCTCATCTGCAATACACTTTACTAACTGAATGAATTTAATTTCTTCATAATTGTGGTATCTTAATCTCTGCTTAGCAATATCAATAGGATTTATATGCAGCTCTCTGTACAGTATCTGACATACAGTGTAAACTGCCCAATTCTCTCTTACACTTGACTCTGGTGAGGTTGAATAACTGAAGAATTCTGAATAATAGTCTAACTGGTTGCTGTGGTGAAATGACATCTTCATTTAAGCAGTGAGTGAACTGACAGAGAACCCAGCCTAGGGGATTACACCAGAATTCAGTGTGCACGAGTGAAAGCTGTTAGTTCTGGCAGCTGATATGACATTAACTTATTGCTCAATAAAGCAGAACTTACCAACTGTCAGAGCTGGTTGCTAATGGCGATGTACATTTTGCTCAATGCAAGAGGACATATTCTTCAGAACTAGAAAGGCAGGGACAGAGAGAAAACTTTATCATATTGAGTGGCTTGTGATTGCTGATGACATTCTGCAGTTGCAGATCATCACGTGCTTAATTTGTTCCAGTTACACAAAACCCCTAAATGATATCCAAGTCTAAAAAGGTGTAACACGAAAGCCACTGGCTGAAGAGTATTAAGGATAGTTTCCATTTTCTTTCTAATGTAAGAACCAGCAAAACTTGATGCAGCCTCACTCTGAGTGGGAAGAAATAAACCTCACAAAAGCATGAATAACGAGTTTAAGCTAAGAATGCCTTTCTGGGTAATGAGGGCCTACAATCATATGAAGACAAGTACTGTAACAGTGCTCTGTTTACAGAGAAGTAGGGATAACACCAAGAAAAACTTGAGAAGTGATAATAATGAAGACAAGCTACAGGCAAGGAAATGCACCCAAAATGGTGAACAAAAAGCACCAACAAACCAGTCAACGGGTAACAGTCAACAGGTTTAAGGACAATGAAAACTTGTTCTGTGAATAATTAAAGATTAAAAGCTACTCCTTAAACACATAGAGTACAAAAGACAATCTCAAAATAGTATAAATCTGCTATTAGCTGATAAAGGTATGATTTTCTTTAATTGTACAGAAAATGTATTCAATAAATATTTAGATCTGCATTTAGGAAAAAGCACTGATAACTAGTTATTCCCTTTTTAACCAGTGCTTAGAGAGGATGTTAACCTGCACCTGCTAGGACTGTGAGTTTTACGTTTCAGAAAAAAGATCTTTGTGCCCAGGAGCTCTTTGAACTATTTCTGATATCCTTTAATTCATCTCAGAGCTGTGATTACTAAACAAGTAAACACTATGTCCCTGTTTAAAAAATGAGCACATGCACTGATTCAGACAGAACAGCCCATTTGTCACAGTGGCAAACTCACAGGAACAGTGACATAGAATCACAGAGTCATTTAGGCTGGAAAAGAATTCTAAGATCATTGAGTCCAACTGTTAACCTATACATAATGGAGTCACAAACAAATCAAGCAATGGTAGCATAATTATGCATAATAAATCCCACAAATCAGTAGATTTTAGTAGGATTACATAGAGGCCCAGGTGGTCAAGACAGGAGACTTGGCTGAGTATTATTTGACTCTATGAAGTACTCGGTTTAAACACACTTGCTCTTAGTTACCATATCACTATAAAAAGTAATGAATCCCCTCAATGGATTAGGAGCTTGTTAAAGGACAGACTGCAGATATCTCTAACTGAGGATCATTCAGTAAAACATCTCCACTGTAGCTGTACAGCAGTCTACTTTTTACTTAATTAGGTAGAAACCACATGATACCAAAAAAAAGTATTTTATACAATTCATAGAAGACACAAACACTGACATTGCACAGAAGCAGCATTTATAAGGGCTTAATGCAGTTCCTTATCAAACTGGGACTGTTTGCATACTCTGCTTTTAATATAGCCAAATGCAACTAACCAAAAGAGCAGCAGAGAGAGAGGAAGATAAGAGCTTGTGTCACCTTCAGCTTGGGAAGTCCCCAAGCTGCAGAGCTGAAGGCAGAGGAGTGGTCACTGGGGCCTCACTCCCTTCCTGCACTCGGCCCAGAGTGCTTGCTGTGGGCCACAGGCTCGACGAGGAGACAGGTCTTGGGTCTTACCCTGTGTCACTGTTCTCATATCTTTATCATTTGGAGTTTCAAACTAGCTGGTTAAAAAATGTGCCACTTTCTGACTAAGCTTCAAGACCCTGGGAAACATGAATATTCTCATGTGGAAAACAGATCAAGCTGCACAATAAGTGAGTTTACTAGGGAATAAAACAGCAAGGCATGGAGAAACCTGAGGCACAGAGAGGCTGTGCAGTGTGGATGGCCTCTGGTGTGTCTTTGTGTCTACCTAGCCTAGAAAGGAAGGTATTTATTTAAAATGGTCAGAATGAAGAGAATAGAAACAAAAAAGCAAAAAGGTTAGCATAAAATCAAGCTACTAAAACCAAAATTATTCAAGATCCTACAGAACAGAGGATATTATGTGGGTTTCTATACATCAGTGCTATAACCAATCACAAATAAATGGCTTTAGGCTTGTGCTTTTATTTACATAAAATCACCAGGTCTTAGTAAGAATA